CAGGAAGCCGCTGCCCAGCCCGGAACCGGAGCGGGAGAAAAGCAGAGCTGCCAGCTGGCGGTAAGGAGAGTGACTCAAAACCCTGCCTAGACTGGGGGTAATTCCCTGGCGATTGGCCCCGTGAGCCTGTCAGACCACCGCCACGAGCTCGCCCGCCTCCGTCCTGGACGCGTTCCCGGCTATCCCCTTTCCGACTGGTGTTCGGACGCCAGGCCCACCCGCCCCTGCGCCCGCACGGGACTTGGAGAGAGAGAGACATGCTTGTCCTCTGCTCCAAGACACAATTCTTCATTTTCTGTAAGTAGGGTAAAGGCTGGGTAGCTTCGTTAGGTGACCACCGCCACGAGCTCGCCCGCCTCCGTCCTGGACGCGTTCCCGGCTATCCCCTTTCCGACTGGTGTTCGGACGCCAGGCCCACCCGCCCCTGCGCCCGCACGGGACTTGGAGAGAGAGAGACATGCTTGTCCTCTGCTCCAAGACACAATTCTTCATTTTCTGTAAGTAGGGTAAAGGCTGGGTAGCTTCGTTAGGTTTTATTGTTTTAGGGGTTGGGTACGGGAGCTGAGATCTGGCACCGCTTAAGAGATGTCTGGCTTTTCTTTGTAACTAAGTTCTAGCCCATGGTGTAATTCCTCCAGGAGTATATTTTGTTACCTTTCCCTCTGATCCTTACGCTTGAAACAGGAATATTGTTGTAATAATAAAAGTTTTCTCCTTCCTTTTTATTAACCTGGCATTGGTTACTGTGTGCCCTGATTTTTATAATAGGGGTGAGATTCCCAAATGATCTTTCCCCTGATTTCTTTATCAACATTCGGGTGCTGGCAGCGGAAGTTTTATTCCCAGGATCTAGGTTTTTAAGGTTTTGGGGGAGGTTTTATACCAAAGCCTGGTAGATAAGGCTTTGGGGTACACTTGCTGGCCCCCACTTCTGCATTTGTCACGCCAGAGTGGGGAAGGAGCCATGGCAGGGGCTCGCGTACCGCTTTTCACCAGCTCCTCCAGCAGGCCGCCCCACTCCGTGCGGAAGATGTCGGCCCCCGTGAGGCTGCCGTCGCCGCCGATGACGCACAGGTTGGTGATGGCGTGCTGCACCA